CTCAAGCCCCCGGCATCAGCTCCTCATTTTCCCCTCCCTCACGAACCCTTGATAATTTATAAATTATTATTTTGTCATATCTTACACTGCCCGACATCTCCCTTCACCCACTTTTCTGTTGTCTGTCCCTCAGGGAGGAGGTTATGTGGAGATCCTTGTAATTAGTTCCCCCTTTCCACCCCACCCTCCCTCCACCCTCCCGGTATCACTACTCTCATGACTGACTGGTCCTGAAAGGATCATCTGCCCTGGATTCCCTGTGTTTCCAGTTCCTATCTGTATTCAGTACAACTTTTCAAGCACAAGTTCTACCTTATTTAAAGAGACACAAAAAGACTGACCATGGTCTCATTTAAGAGATTGATTAATTACTCTCTAAAAACAATAAATAGCTCTAATTTTCTGACTGCAATGGTAAGAGAAAGTTTTCTTTTTGGGTGTTTGCTTTTAAATCTTCAGGAAAACATCAGAATTCATCTTATTAATCTTTTGCTTAATTATATGTGGCAGCATGTATTCTCTGGTCACGGTACAGAGATGTAGTGACCATGACTTGGCGCCCTAGTTACAGTTTTACAAATGCTAAGAGCTTTCAAGAAGGGAGTTCTTCGTGGACCTTCACAGCAAAAGGAATACTGTGAAACTTACTTAGAAAAAGCATTTCTTCGAGGAACTGCAAAAACGTGGTTCCTCTGCTAGAACTTCTGGTTCTCAATACCGCACTTCAGTAACTTAAAGACAGGACAGTTTGATTCTTTGTGTTTTTAGCAATTAAGAAAGTCTTTGAAATAAGATTTTGAAAGAACCTGGGGGACTGTTGGGTAAGCGCTGGCCAACTAACCACATGGTTGGTGGTTCAAACCTACCAGCAGCTCTGAAGGGGAAAGATGAGGCTGTCTATTCCTGCCAGGATTTACAGCCTCAGACACCTTATACAGGGTCCCTATGAATTGAAATTGGCTTGATGCAATGGGGCTGGGGCTTAACTCCCAAGCACATCTCCAAGCAGTTCCTTCATTATAGATGTTCTTTGTACTTGAAGAAATAGCTTATTTACCTTCTTACCCAAAGCAAGAAGCTGCCCAATAGATTTAGTCTCCCTCTTTTGCCAACTAATATTTGAGTATTTAAAGCTACAGATGCAAAGAACCCTCACTGACGCCCGTTGCACTCAGGAATTTCTGGAGGTGGAGCTGACCCTGAGGGTTCCTCTGGAAGGAGCAGCAGAGTCCAACACAAGCGCTTCGATGGGCTGGACGAGGATGGACCTAACGTCCAGAATACAGAACAACACTGTCTGGAGTGCTCGTGGCCCTGCACCCCAGATGAGAAAGGGCAGCGTGTAGGGAGCCTCCTAGAGATGTGCAGCAGTACCTGAAGACTTAGGAAAGAAAGGACATGGAAAAAGGGAGAATACAGGCTTCAGCATAGATGCAAGCATAACGCTAATCTGTTAAAACACGAGCAGGAACAGTAAACAGGGGCCTTACTTGATGCTGTTAAGAACTGTGGAAAACGGGATAAAGCGGTAAGGCTGGCTGCCATGCATTTGGGTAGGAGATGAGGTAATAAAGCTGAAGATGGTTATCAGATTCAGTTTCTTTCTTGTTTTATCATCTCTCCAGTCAGACTCTCCCACATGGAAATTCTACACATTCCCTAAAGACCAAGAACTAACATGCGAAGAAAGGCATCTAATATATGCACATGCCTGAAGGGGCTTCAGAATTTCATGGGAAAATGCCAGTATCTTCTCATTTCATTTTTTTCATTAAATACTTTTATTGGGGGCTCTTAGATCTCTTATCACCATCCATACATTCATCCATTGTGTCAATCACATTTGTACATTTGCTGCCATCATCATTTTCAAAGCATTTCCTTACTACTTGAGCCCTTGGTATCAGCTCTTCATTTTTCCCCGCTTCCTCCCCCACCCATCCTCCCTCATGAACCCTTGCTAAGTTATAGATCATTATTTTCATATCTTATATTGTCCTCTGTCACCTTTCACCTACTTTTCTGTGGTTTGTCCCCCTGGAAGGGGGCTATATGTTGATCTTTTGACCATTTCACCTTTCCCTCTCACCTTTCCCTTATCCTCCTGGCATCTCTATTCTCATTGTTGGCCCTGAGAGGTTTATCTATCCTGGATTCCCTGTGATTCAGGCTCCTATCTGTAGCAGTGTGCATGCTCTGGTCTAATCTGATTTGTAAGGTAGAATTGAGGTGGTGGTGTGTGTGCAGAGGAAGCATTAAAGAACTAGAGCAAAATTGTGTGTTTCATCGGTGCTATACTGCACCCTGACTGGCTCATCTCTTCCGTGTGACCCTTCTGTGAGAGGATGTCCAGTTGTCTACAGATGGGCTTTGGGTCTCTACTCCATGCTCCCTCCCCCCCACCCATCATTTCATTTTTTCCATCAACTCTCTTCTATATTTCTCTCAAGGGAGGGTGTGCTGGTAGAAACATTTGGAGATGATACAGTGTGGAAACTTAGATGTTCACTGGAAATATTTAAACAACAATTAAGTCAGGCCACCATTTCTTCCCACCAACCATAGACTTCAGCCACAGGTTGTAAATGTAAATCCTCTTCAGCATTAATCTGCCCAAATAACATCAAACCTGTAACTGTCCAATCCACTTGATGCGTTATTGTGTAAGCCTTTATTGGATCCAATTCCCTCGAAACACTGTGCTCGTCCTTTGACGACTTTGTGCAGGTACAACATCCGATGGCAGTTATTGATTTCGTCAGTCGTTGGGAATGTACACAGCCAAGCATATGCCAATCCAACACCTTCCGCAGGTGAACTTCAGGGACACTGATGCGGCTCTTTGAGCTCTGCATTTGTCCTCACCCTCTGCTCCTGAATTCTTCCTCTCCCACGAACATGAACTCACTGCTTCCAAAGGCTCCAGTCTGACCGTTGGAGTTGCTTTTGTTCATTTGATTCCATAGAAAATAGTTCTTGAAGGAATATAAGCCTCAAGACAGAACTTGATTTTTTTTTCACTAGTCAAGCTAAACAATTGTTTGGTTTTATTTAGTTATTTATTTTTATGGGATGTTCAAAGGATTATATATTTAAAAATCATTTTATTGGAGCTCTTACAGCTCTTAGAACAATCCATATATCAATTGTATCAAGCACATTTGTACATAGGTTACCAACATCGTTTTCTAAACATTTCCTTTCTGTTTGAGCCCTGTTATTAGCTCCTTTTTTCCCTCCTTCTCCCACCATTCCACCCTTGTGAACCCTTAATAAATGATAAATTATTATTATTTTCATATCTCCCTTCACCCACGTTTCTGTTGTTCTTCCCCTTTTGGGGGGAACGGTGTTATACCATTGAGATGGGTTCCCCCTTTTCTCCTCCTTCTCACTTCACCTTTCTCTGACCCTCTTGGTATCACTACTCCCATTTCTGTTCCCAAGGGGTTTATCTCGCCTGGATTCCATGTGTCGAGAGCTCTTGGCTGTATCAGTGTACATGCTCCAGTCTAGCCAGATTTGCAAGGTAGAGCTAGGGTCATGATATTGGGGGTGAGGAAAACTCAAAGAACCAGACGAATGCTGTGTGTTTCATCAGTGCTATACTGCACCCTGGCTGACTCATCCCTTCTTTGTGACCCTTCTGGAAAGAGGATATCCGATGATCTACAGATGGGTTTTGGGTCCACTCTGACCTCCCTCGGTCTCAACAATATGATTATTTGTTTTGGATCTTCTGAAGAATTGCTTGGTTTTATAAACACTCCAGAGGATATTTTTGGTGCAAAGTTTAAAGATAATTTCAGGGAAAGGGTTTCAAAGGCTCATCGACTCTCTGTGGCTTCAGAAAATCGAGAGTCTACGAGCATTTGGAATTGTGTTCTTTATTGTCCCTCTTTTGATCAGGACTATTCTATAGAATCCTTGATCAAAATGTCCTGTAATGGTAGCCAGATCCCATCCTCTTCCAGCTCATGACGACAGAGACTGCTGTCCACGAGGCAACTAGCCACACGTTCACCCCACATCCTTCTGCTATTTCTGACTCAATTTTCCTCTCTTGCTCCAGGTAAATGAAGACCACTGTCATTATGGCAATTCTTTAGGCTTCTTGTTACACTTGGTTACATGGACTTCAAACCAGGAGCCACCATAATTAATGTAGGGCCTGACCTGATTAAATGCTCAGCTGAGGAACTCAGCTGATTTCTACTTACTCAGAGATACAGCCATCAGAGCAGCAGGAACCCCAAATGCCAATGGGTAGCAAGCTTGTTGGCTGTGGATTCCACACGTTTGAACTGGGGAGAAATGACAGGATTTAAAATTAATTATGGCATTGATAATACACCATGCCTATCTTAAAAAAAAAATATCCCTCGCTACTTTTGGCATGTTGTTTTCACTGAATGTTCTAGAATCTAGACTTATCCATTTGCCTTACTGATGTCACTTTCGGCTGAGCAAAGCAATGTTGCAGTAGACAGAGGTGACAGGGTCTTCTCTTAACCTCTAAACAATGTGTGGAGCTAGCCAAGCCCAAACCAATGGGCTCCTACTGATCTGCTCTGTGGAATTTTGTAGTGGGGAAGATGAATCTGACCTGGATACAATAACTTGAAGATAGTGGAACTCAGACCACTGTCACCCAGAAGCTTAATTGCCATTGAGTAGACTGACTCACAGTGGCCCTATATAGGGCGTCTGAGGCTGTTAATTTTTGGGGTTGTTTTAAGTCAGAGATAATTAAACAAACCATTTTTTAAAAATTGTTAAGTGGGGGCTTTACATTACAGATAATCAATTTTGTTTGCACCAGTTTAAACTATTTATCAAATCCCTTATCAATGACTTATTAACCACCACCCCATTCTCTTCTCCTTCTTTTAGATTACTATCTTGCCCTTTACCCACATTAATGCCTGTCAGTCCTCTAGCCTACGACTTCCCTCCTTTGCTCCCTGTCCCCTTGGGAACCTATAAAGTTGGTTCCCTTGGTTATGAACGTCTGTCTTGTTTTCACTCAGCATAGCGTTCTCCAGGTCAACCCATGCCATGAGGTGCTCTGTGGTTTCAACACTGACTTTTAGTAATGTGCAATATTCCATTCGGAGCCTGGTGACACAGTGGTGACCTGTTGGGCTGCAATGCACAAGGTCAGTAGTTCAAAACCACCAACCACTCCGAGGGAGATGGATGGGGTGTTCTATCCTGTGAACAGTTACTGTCTTGGAAACTCACAGGGGCAGGTCTTCCCTGTCCTATAGGGTGGCTGTGAATCGGCATTGATGATGACGGGGAGTTTGAGGTTTTTGTATTGTAATATTTTATTGTGTGTATGTTTCTGAGCAGATAGGCATCTGTCTCCTACAGAGCTGCTGGAAGGTTTGAACTGTTGGCCATGCAGTTTCCAGTCCAAGGCGTACCCAACATCCCCACCAGTAAAACCAAAACCACAGTGGAAAATTGAAGATGGTACGTCCCTGCAGGCAGGCTAACTAAGAAACAAGTGGCAGAGTGGGTAAACTTTTCTGTAGAGGTCCAGATAGGAAGCCCTTCAGGCTCTGTGGTCCATTCTATCGTTTTCACGGCTCTCCGCCTCCACCTTTGTAGGGTGCAAGCAGCCACAGACAACACATAAATAAAGGATCCTGTCTGGATTTCTGATTCGGCTCAGGGACCGTAGTTTGCTAGCCCATGACCTAGGATCCATTTTAGCTCTGAAACTCTAGGATGGGTAAAAACTAAGTCTGTGACAGAGACTAATGGAAACCTTTTTGATGCGGAACCTCCAAGATTATCGGTGCCATCCCTACAGTTACAGACAGTCTCCATTAAAGGGGCCCTAGTGTAGTGGGCTACAAGTTGAGTTCAGCTGTTTGATCAGATCCAACAGCTTCTCCACAGAGAAAGACGAGGTTTTCTACTGCTGTAAAAAATCAGTCTCAGAACCCCACAAGGGCAGATCTCCCTGTCCCACAAGGGCAGATCTCCCTGTCCCACAGGGCACTTCTACCTGTCCCATAGACTTGCTATGAGTCAGAATCGCTCCATGGTAGTGAGTTTGGCTTTTGGTTTTATCAGGATCTTTTTTGTGTGTGTGGATCAAGGTTTCCAACAGTCTCTCACACAGGGGTGAGCATCACCTGGACTCTGGCCAAACTGGATTCTGACTCAGCGTATCTGGGCTGGAAATGCAAACTTTTAAGCAGTGGTTGAACCAGGTCAGAGCTCTGGTTTTGAGTTTGTCTTTGACAAGGTGATTTTACCATTTTGTAGAGAAAGAAATTTAATTAGTAGAAAACTGAGAGGCGGGCTAATGCATTCTGTCCACAGTTGTAGAAATGATTGCTGCTTATGACAATACAAAATAAATTTTTTTTTCTGGAAGAAATATAAATCAGGTCAAATTCTGACTTGAATGGATCATAACAACTTTCCAGTTCCCTCCTTAGTTAATAAGCTAAATATTGGATATATGTCCAGTGTGTATTGGTTTGAGTGTCATGATTTTACCTCTAGAAAAATTATCCTGATCATTTAAACACACACGCATTACTTACCCTAGCATGTGCCTTTGGGGAGGTATTGGGGTGTGGGGGTTAGGTGAGCAAATGTAGTACAAGAATAAATCAAAAATCCAAACTCAGTGCCCTGGGGTCAAAGCCAACTCACGGCAACGCTGTAGGACAGGGTAGAGCTGCCTTTGGGTTTCTGAGGCTGTAACTCTTTACGGGACCAGACAGCCCCATCTTTCTCCCGAGTACCAGAATAACAGCTATTGAATTTCCACCAAGTAAGTGGGAATGGATTTTAAATGATATTGCCAAATTAATATGTTATGAATGAATGCAAGTTTTTGTGTGCCATTGAATTAATTCTGAGATGCAGAGACCTGAAAGGTCAGAGCAGAATTGTCCCAAGGGGTTCCCAAGGCCATGTATCTTGGTGGAAGCAAATGGCCATATCTTTGTCCTGTGGAGTGGTGGGCCGGTGGGGTCTACCTGCCAACCCTCAGGTTAGCAGCCAAGAGCTCACCCACCATGCCACCAGGGCTCCTTCTCGGATACGATGAGAAAAGGAAATAAAACTTGGGGGGGTGGGGGAGAAGCTCATGTCCTGGACTCCAATTTAGACCCAGCCATACACCTGCCAGCGGAAGCATATGGCTAAAGAAAACAGGCAAAAAGACCAAGACCTAACATTCTAACCTTTTCACCCCTCTTTCTTCCATGCAATGGGGAAAGCCAAACAGTAGGTAGTTTAGGTTTTACTTTGTTAATTTTTACCTCTGAGGATGGGGGTGATGATAGTAGAAAGCAAACTTCCCGCATTGATGGCCAAATAAAAGATGGAAAAGAATCGGTTTCTTTGTTGTTCCTGCAGTGAAAAGGACAATGGTAAAGTAGGGCCGCCTTGGCTACAGACCACCTGAGCAGACGGAGCCGATGACCTGCTGTCACTCCCAACCAAGTTTTAACCAGTACCTGGCTTTCAAGGGACTGGAAAGGAACCAACTGGACCACAGATGATTATACATATCTCCCTAGAATTTAATTTCATTTATGTGGCTTCTAGGAAGGTACGTGTTCTTACCTGGCCCTCTTCAAACTGATCTCCACCAAAAGCAGACACACAGGGCTTTATTCCTCCTGTACCAAGAGCTATCAGGGCCAAGCCAATCATGGACAGTGCCCTGAGGAAAGAAGCGGTTATTGCCAAAAGGTCAGGTCCTTCAATGCAGAGCCCTCCTTTCCCTAGTTATCTGAAGAGGAGGCCTGGGCAACGGCAAGGGCAGACACAGAGAAGGCGCCCCAACTTTCCTTTCTTTCTTTCTTTTTTAATTACATACTTTTATTGGGGGCTCTTACATCTCTTATCACAATCCATACATTCATCCATTGTGTCAGGCACCTTTGTACACATTGCCATCATCATTTTCAAAGCATTTTCTTTCTACTTGAGCCCTTGGTATCAGCTCCTCATTTTCCCCCTCCCTCCCTCATGAACCCTTGATAAGTTATAGATTATTATTTTCATAGCTTACATCATCCTTTGTCACCCCTCACCCACTTTTCTGTTGTTCGTCCCCCTGGATGTTGATGATCCTTGTGATCGATTCCCCCTTTCTACCCCTGACCTTCCCCTTCTCCTGGTATGGCACTCCAACATTCTGAGAAAGATAAATCAGTGGAAATGCAGTATTGTTTGTGCAATAAAAACACGAGTTTACGAGCGTTCAAGTTCGTGCCCTAGAAAATGCAAAGCAATGACTGGAAGTCTGGACAAAGAGTGATACATGGAGCTCTCCTGAACTTTATAATTAATTATCCAGTAACTGAACGAACAAATGAGATGTCGCTTAAACCAATCCGCAAAGGCGTTGTCTCTGGTACCATGAAAACAGGCTAATAACAGTGGGGGGAAATGTCATTGGAAACATGACTTCCTGGAGAAGCAGACTACCGCGAGAGACAGTATGATGTTAATTCGTTCACAACATACAGAAGACTAGAAAGAAGTGTAGGGAAAGGGCTGTAGTTATATCTAGGCGATGGGATTAAGGATCACTTCTTTTTCTTTCGTTTTTTATTTTCTAAGTTGTCTGTATTTCACTTGCTGAATTAAAGGGGGGACATTTCCTCGAAGGCATCAACCCACCTTTGCAGTTGTAGTGTTACAGGCAGGTGCTATGAAGCCGTGCAAGGGTTGTTTCCTATTATTGTCTGGCTGCCAACGTTGCTTAGAGAGAGGGCAAAGCTTCTATTAAACAAGGAAAGTCTAGGAAAAGAGCGCACGGAGAAGGAGCGCTTTCCTCACCATGTGCTCCTGCCTCTATCAATTTTATTTGCCTCCTAACTCATGTCTCTAACATTGTTACTGTCACTGCGTGCTGTCAAACTGATTCTGGCTCGGGCAGGCCTGTGTGTGCCGAGTCCAGATGTTCCCTGAGGATTTCCCGGCTGGGACATTTGGGAAGCAGATCACCAGGTCTCTCTTTGGAGGTGCCTCTGGATGGGTTCAAACCGACAACCTTTGGGCAAGTAGTTGAGTGCTTGACCATTTGTGCCACTCAAGGGTCCCAGATGTTGTTATTCTCCACAATTGAAATGCCAAACAAAGCATGGTCAATTTGATAGTGTGCATCATGCACTCTTGTGAGAATCTTAGCCATGTTCCAATACAAATTCCACGAAATAAAACAAATCGCTAAGATGTATTGAGCACCGACTACTTGCCCAAAGGAGCCCCGGAGGCGTAGTGAATCCCATCCTGCTGGGCTGGGAAGCACAAGGTCAGCAATTTGAACCCACCAGCAGTTCCACAGGAGAAAGATGAGGCTCTCTGGCCCCATCAAGATTTACAGCCTCAGAAACCCCCAGGGTCTGTCTGTGGGGGTAGGCCCCTCCCTGGAAGATCAGGTCTAACACAAAGGCCCACTCCATGGCGACGCTGCAGGTGAGGGGTTCCTGGGGCCGCTGTGCCTCCCTTGTCTGATGATGACATCCCAGCATTGTTCTAGAGAGTTGGAAAGCCGCCTTACAGTCAAAGTGGGGTTCAAGAAAAAGGAGGGGAAATTAGAATACTCCTTCAGCAGTCAAGGCTGGGCAGAGCAGGAGCTGACAGCAACTCACACGTGAACAGAAATGTTAAGAGACTTCCCATCGTTGTCTTGGCCTGTGAGGTCGGCGATGGAGCTCACTGAGATGACGGCTTGTCCGATGGTGTACACAATGGAGAGCGACACGATTGTCCTGTGTTATCAGAGAAAACAAGCGGATTGGAAGAGCAGTACACATCCTTTTCTATTGCCAAGGCCCCTCCTTTCAAACCATTCAGGAGCCCAGTCAGGAATTTACTTGTTTCTCACACTCAAATGAAGTGGACAGCTCCGAAAGCCAGAGTGAGGATTTGTTGCATAGCTTGTCATTCCAAAGTCTTGGCTGGGGGGAAGGGAAGCTCCAACCACATAAGAGCATCTCTTGAAACCAGGATTTCAAGACGGTCCCTTGCACTTCAACCCCTGCTGAGAATTTGCACCTTCCTCCCAGGAATCAGAACCTGCTGTTTAATAAGATTTCCAGGTGATTCTAATAGATCCTCAGGTGGTTCTCCGTATTGCTAACAAGATTATTACGGAGGAAAAAAGGATTATTAGGGAGGATTCTAATTCAATCTATCTGGGGAGGGGAAGGCAAATTCTCAGCAGGAGGTCAAAGCAAATTGAACTGGTTCTAAGCTCTGCTTTAACAAGTGAGTGGGCCAGGTGAGGGCATTTGGCCAGGTGTGGACCACTGGTTACTCCTGGAAGATAGTTTTATTTATTTTTTTAAATACCTTTATTGGGGGCTCTTCCATCTCTTATCACAATCCATACATTCCTCCCATATGTCAAGCACATTTGCACATATGCCGCCATCATCGTTTTCAAAGCATTCTCTTCCCACTTGAGCCCCTGATAGCAGCTCCCCATTTCTTCCTGCTCCCTCCCCCGTCCTCCCTCCCGCACAGACTCTTGATAAGTTATAGATTATTTTTTTCCATATCTTACATCGTCCTCCGTCGCCCCTCACCCACTTTTCCATTATTCGTCCTCCTGGGAGGGGGTTTTCGGTTGATCCTTGTGATTGATTCCCTCTTTTTCCCCCCATCCTCCCCTAATCCTCCTGGTATCTCTACTAGGAGGATTGTTTTGAAACAGTAAACAATCCAGTTTTGGCCCATGTCATTTCTTTGGCACAGAAGAGCCTCCTCATCCTTCATTACATCATAGGACGTATTTCCTGATAACCCCTGGGAATTCACACCTCCAGCTTTTCCTGTCAGGTCAGAGGAGTGTGCTCCTGAGCTACCTAGTGCCATGTGCATGGCCCTGGGAAGCCAGAACGTGCCTCCCCATCATTAACGAGAGTGTCTTGCTACGTTTGGCATGATGGAGTGAAGACGCTCTCATGGTTTGGAGAAGAAATACAACGGCTGACGGTGCTTGCCTGCACGCCTCTAAACGCAGGGCTCTGCTGGGCTCTGGGGCTGACATGACGGGCCACACCAAGGTCTGTAACGCTCTCCTCAGCACTGAGGTCCCCAGACGCTCCTTCCTGCCCCACAAAACTCACCCCATGGCTTTTTTGTCGGTGCCTTGTTTGCGAATAAAGAAGGTTCCCAACTACTCACTTGAACTTTCCCAGCCAGGAGTCGGCGATGAGCGCTCCGAGAATTGGCGTCAGGTAGCACAGAGCCACGAAGGTGTGGTAGATGGCTGTGGACAGGTTGTCATCCCATCCGATGAAATTCCTGAAGTACAGAATCAGGAGGGCTTGGCGCAGACGAAAGGTGGAGGAGGGGGAGGGAGAAACACCAGTTAGCATTGGCTTTGAAACTCACGTTCCGTCTCTGCAGGGTGAGGCGGGCTGAAAAGTTACCTCTCATGCCATAGTAGGAAAATCTTTCACAGAACTCATTGACCACGATGAAGAAGATGCTCAACGGGTAGCCAAAGCAGGTCTGCCAAAACAGAACGCCGTTGAAACAAGCGCTTCCCTGTTTCACGTGCACAAACATGTGCTACCAGCATGACACACAGAGGAGGCTAGTCCGGGGCTGCCCAGAGGTGGAATCTAGAATTTGAAGAAGTTCACTCCGTCCGATTAATCTCTCCAGGTGGAGAGAACAATGAAAGAAAGCCCCTAGGTTTACTGTGAGTCTTCCTGCACGGAAGCTACCTTGCAGAAACTCAAGAGGGCGCCCTCAGCGGTGCCAGGTGCACAGTACCCTTGTGTTAAGGGAACGACCTTGTGATTATTTAGAAGCAAAAACGCATACAGGGAAGAAAAGCGGATACGTACCTTTGATTTGGACATCCCTGTGAGAAAAACAAGATACCACAATTAGAGTCGATAGAGGCAATCAAGCAAGTGAAATACAGCCCTCCCCCTTTTTTTCTCAGCCCCTCCGACTCTTCGTGACCATAAAGTAGTGTCACCAACCCTTGCCAGCCCCCTTTATCTAGGGCCCTTCTTGGGAGGGGCCGCTTCTCAGGAGGGGCCGGGCATCTGCACCTTTAGTTCCTATTCTTGTGCACTGAGCCCAGAGCAAGCAGCTGAGAGAACTGTATCCAAACCATTCTCTCTTCCAAACACTTCCACGGCTGCCTATAGCCACAAGCTGAAACGCATTGCCTCACAAGGTCATTGGGTTGCTCTGAGGATTAACTATCTGAACTATGAAGTGTTTATGGGAACCTAAAAGGAAGCGCCAATACACATGGGGCTGCTAACCCGAAGGCCAGCAGTTCAAAACCACCAGCTGCTCTGAGGGAGAAAAATGAGGCTTTCTACTCCCCTGTTACACTCTCAGAAACCCACAGGGGCAGTTCTACCTTGTCCTATAGCAGTGGTTCTCGAGCTTCCTAATGCTGCAACCCTTTCATACAGTTCCTCATGTTGTGTTGACCCCCCCAACCATAAAATCGTTTTCGTTGCTACTTCATCACTGTCATTTTGCTACCTTTATGAATCTGGCGACCCCTGTGTAAAGGGTCGTTCGACCCCCAAAGGGTCGACCCACGAGTTGAGAACTGCTGCCTTGTAGGATTGCTATGAGTCAGAATCAGCTCGTTGGCAGTGGATTTTTTTTTCTCCTGGTGGGTCCCTCAAAGGAACCTCAGTCAGCCAGTGGTGAAACACAGGGCTTGACACCCAAAGGTCAGCTGACCCACGAGAGAAGGAGAAGGCCCCCCACTCCCGCGGGGAGTTCACTCTGGCTCACAGCGTGGCTAGGAGTCTGAGTGGACTTTATGGCAGTCGATTTGGGGGGTTTTGTGTGTGTGGTTCTTGTTCATTTAAAGGTCATTTTACTAGGGGCTCTTCCAGCTCTGATAACATACATCAACTGTATCAAGTATATTTGTACATACGTTGCCATCATTGTTTTCTAAACGTTTACATTCTAGTTGAACCCTTGGTATTGTTAGGTAGCAAATACAGGGGCTGGGGTGGCCATTGCGCTTGCTCAGAGTTTTGAGCTTCCTCCCCGGAAGGGGTGGTACACCTAGGTGGGTGGGTGGCCCATCTGGGCCAGGTGAATTTAATTCAGCCAATGAGGTTAACCAGTTCCATGGACCACGCCTCCCAATGGGGGAGGGCTGAAAAGCCAGGCGTTTGCTCTGCCGCTCTCTCGTGGCCGGGCCTCAGTCCCCACATTTGGGCCACTTCCATCCTCTGTAAACTCACTCAGATCACAACCCAGGCTTCGTCATGAATTCTTTCTCTCGCAAAGCCAAGGACCGAGGTATTCCTCACAGTATCAGCTCCCTCCCCAACTCCCACGTGGTAGATTTGGTTTTATGGTTAGCTAGGGAGACCCCTGGGTGGCACAATTCACTACGAATCAAAAGGTGGGCTATTTGGAGGCCCAGAGCAGAGCCGTGGAAGAAAGGTCTGACAAACCGCTTCCATGAGAGCCAGCCAAGAAAACACGGTGGAGCTCAGTTCCAGTCTGTAGCCCCCAGTGCCACTTCGAGTTGGAATCACCTGGTGGCAGTAGTCTGGTTTTCCGGTGCAGATGTCTGTCTCCCACAGAGTGAAGATTTAATGGCCATTTCTTGGTCCTAGGCTTTGCCTTCCTTCCCAGCCCTCCATGCAGAGATGATTCTAATGATGCCCAATTACTTGTTTACAGAACGCGGTGTGCTGTCACCCAAACTCCTTAGCACACAAGAGGGCCACTTCTGTGCCATGCTCGCATGCATGGCCCCTGGGACCTGTGCCCCTCCCTACTCCTGTGTAAGCCACCAATGCTTCAAGAAACTGGCCCTGCCCACCCCCCGAGCAGTGTTAGGCACAGTGTTGCACACCCATCTCGTAGGTCACTGGGCAGTGAAGAACAGCTTCTATGTCTGCCTGCCCTCTACCCAAAATTCCTCAGGTGGGTAAGTCGCATGCATCTCCACGCGCCCCCTGCCCCCCGTCTTTCACAATGCCCAGCACACAGTCTGAAAACGGGGAGAAGAACACACGTGAGTCAGTGCAGGCCAAGCCCACTGGGCACATGGTGCTGCTGGGGCAGCCTTGGACTGCTGATCACAGGCTGGCTGGCTACACAGCTAACACTTAGAAACCCAACCCAAGCCACTGCCATCGAGGCCTTCCAACTCATAGGGACCCTATAGAGCAGCGGTTCTCAACCTGTGGGTCACGACCCCTTTGGGGGTTGCCCGGTTCATCACAGTAGCAAAATGACAGTGATGAAGTAGCAATGAAAATAATTTTATGGTTGGGGGGTCACTACAACATGAGGAACTGTATGAAAGGGTCACGGTATTAGGAAGGTTCAGAACCACAGCTATAGAGGGTTTCCGAGGCTACAAGTCATTGAAGAGGCAGACAGCCCCATCTTTCTCCCATGGAGTGCCGGGTGGGTTTGAACCGCCCACCTCGTGGTTAGCAGTCCATTCTTCCCTGGCTCTCGCTCACTGTCATAGAGTCAATGTTGACTCATAGTGAGTCCCTGTGGTTTCTGAGACTGTAACTGTTTATGGGAGCAGAAAGCCCAGACTGCTGGTGGTTCAAACTGCTGACCTTGCAGATCACAGCCCATTGCTTAACCACTACACCACGAGGGCTCTAAGGGTCCTGGTTGAACCCTTTCTCCTCCTGTAATTCCACGCATACACGTTCCACATGGACCCATGTCCTGGCACCTGCTGTGTTCTCCTTCACGAGCATCTAGCCCTCTCCCTGCACTCAGTCCCTATCGATGCCGCAAGTCTCACTTCATCTTAGAGTTCTGGGCTGTCAGGCCTCCCTAAGCCCCACAGCAGTGACCCTCGACTGGAGATTGTGTCAATATCAACAGGTGGCTGAGCCCTGTCCCCAGAGCTGCCGAGTCTCTAGGTCTGGGAGGGCCCAAAAGCTTGCATTTCTTCTTTTAAAAAAAAATTTCATCATTTTATTGGGGGCTCGTACAGCTTATCACAATCCATCCATCCATCCATTGTGGCAAGCACACTTGTACATTTGTTAAGAGCTTGCATTTCTATCAGGTTGATGTTGGTGCTCCTCTGAGACTACACTTGGAAAGGTCACTGCCCTTAAAGTTCCCCTGGTGGAACTCTGTACCGCCCAGTTCAGGGTGCCTGGGCGGTGCAGAGGGTGCACCCTTTTGGCTGCTAACCGGAAGGCTGGAGGTCTGAGCCCACTCAAGGAACCCCTCGGAAGACAGGCGTGGCAATCTGCTTCTGTAACAAAGACCATGAAAACCTGACAGAGCACAGTGTTACTCTGCCCTCCCGGGGTGCCCAGGCATGGCCACTGCTCTTTGACCTCCGGGCTGCGTACTAGAGCACAACCCTTTTTAGAAGCAGCTCCATGGGAAAGCAGTGCTGGAGGGTGGTGGCTTGTGACTGAGAAGACGGGCTCTTCTCGGTACCTAAGAATTTGGGTTTCTAACAAGATCCCACGTGATATCTGGGTGGTTGGCTGGTGCAGAAGCCATGCTGGGTGAGCCAGTCGCCGGCTGCGGCAAGGCTCGGTGCGGTTTCTCTACCTAAATTTGATCATCTCCCTGGCCCAGAGCACCAGGAGGTTCCTTCTGTGTGGAGCGAAGCTGCACAGCGTGATGAAGGCACCCGTACAGCTCCCCATCAGTCCCTTCCGTGGGTCCCCATTCTGGGATCTCCCTCTCTGGTTGGCCACCTTGCATCTTCGTTCTGTGCAAGCCCACGGCCCCACCCTACCACAAGCCGAACCACAGCTCTGCCAGAGCGATTCCTATCCTGATGCAGGCCCACGTGCCCCGGCTCGCTCTGCCTGCTCCTCGCCCAGGGGGGACAGACGTGTGAAGGCCCTGCCGGTGTCCACTGAGGGTGAGGGGCTGCTGTCTCAGACTCCTCACTGCCTAGCATGGGTTTGTTTCAGTGACTGAGTGCTGCTGTAACAGAGGTACAAGAGGGTGACTTTGACAAACAATTGTATTCTCTCTCAGGGTAGGAGGCTAGAAGGCTGGATCTAGGTAGCTACTGCCCAGGGAGCGCTTTCTCTCTGTTGCCAGCTCTAGGAGAGGGACTTTGTCATCAATCTGCCCTTGAGTCTAGGAGTTTCTCGGGGAAGGGACACATTCCAAAGGGCGCTGTACTCCCTGCTTTTCTTCCTGGGGTACAAGGTCCCTCTGACTTCTGCTCGCTTGTTTATTCCCTTTTATATCCCCAGAGGCACTGGCTCCACATAGAGCCTGCCCCTGCAGATGGCAGCCTGCCCCAGCAACACAACTGTCTCTAGTCCGGCCTCATTAACATCATCAAGGTGAGGCCTTACAACACGTAGGACAATCACATCATATCACAAAATGGAGGCTAATTACCGGATCCCTGCCTAGCCCAGTCGACACAAATTAGGGGGGTGGGGGAAATAGAATTCAATCCATTCAGTGCTTTTCACTGCGTGGAAATTAAATGTTGAATGAATACATGTACCGACAGACTCTGTCCTGTTGCTCATCAAGGACAACATTCTGGTTCTGACTGTGCCACTCGCTAGTTAGTTCTGTGGACCCTCTGTCCCAAGAGCTGAGCCTGTAAAGATTTCCTCAATGGTCCCCATGCCCCTGGCATCAATTGTGTTTGGCCAGTGGGGGCCACTGTGGCAACAGAGGCAAAGAAGAAAGGTCAGGCACTGCTGTCCTTGGCTCCCTCCCTGCAAGGCCACCTCCAGCCTAACAAACAGGCCCGGCTCATCTGAGGGCAGTCCTCTCACATGACTCTTTCCTTCCAGGCTTGCTAACTGCTCTTTCCCTCATCCTTCAGGCCTACAGGTGGTAAGGGCAAGGCCTTGGACACTGTGTACCATGTATAGTGGCCAGTCTC